GGGGGGACATATTGCAACGATCCAAAGCTCTCTCTCTCTCTCTCTCTCTCTCTCTCTCTCTCTCTCTCTCTCTCTCTCTCTCTCTCGCTCTCTCTCTCTCTCTCTCTCGCTCTCGCTCGCTCTCCTGCCTGCGCCGTCATCCATATTTTTTACATTGTTGCGCACTTGAGGCATTCCTATTACTAATGAGATGACCGCAGCTCTCTCGGGCATCCCATTGCAGTGGCTCTATACATTATGGTCTATGCAAATAATAACTGCGAAAGCTTAACCCATCTAACGAGCAGCGTTGTAGCGATGTTCAAGTACGTACGCTCTGCTTTACGTCACTCACACACGGACAGCCCCTTGTACTGGGATGATCTAAAACGCATATTGAAATTGGTGCTTGGCTTTTTCTGTAGTACTTACAATTTCGCCCATTGTCCGTCATTGCAACAGATCTTATATCATTTAATTGTCAATGTAATTTGGCAGGATAGCACTTAATTTGTAGCAGAATGGGCTGGTACAAGAGATACCTTGTTGAACTCGCTGGATAGATTCACTGGCTATCTTTATTATTATAAGATAATACCGATTTCGATTATCTCACTCGTTCGATCATTTAGAGTAAAGCACGTAAATCTGAATCGTCCATATGTTTTGTTCTGTATGTGTATATCGTCGTTCGAGAGGGGCAGGCAGCCTTCATCTAATGGCTAGTCATTGCCTTCCAAGTGTACACACAACAGTAATATATATATATATATATATATATATATATATATATATATATATATATATGACGAAAATAGACGTAGTAAAATAAACAGTAAATGATAAGCAATAATATTAGTAGATAAAAGTTTTTGTTTGCTCAAGCAGGCACCCAGATTTTTAGAGGTATCTACTCGTTGTCGGATTGTGCTCCTTTCAACCCAGTACAGATATCTAACGCTAAATTATCACTGACAATCTCTTTATCGTTTTCTCTCCTGGCTCAATGGTGATAATAATGACAATACACTAAACACCTTCTTACCGTTGAAGTAGATCATTTTTTACGATTTTTATCTATTTTTACATTTATCGTTATAACTTATAGTTGTAGCAGCGAGCGTAAGTTAACTTTATTCGTCGCTATATATATATATATATATATATATATATACGCGCTACGTCCACGTGCAGCCATTCATCGACTGTAGCTAAATGATGTCTTTGCTTTACAGTAATAATAACACCTTTACAAACAGACACACGAAAACCCTGCTATATTATACAATACACACGGCTATTACATGGGCGAAAAAAAATGTTTCGTTTTTACGTCAATCCACTCACTCATCGATCACTAGTGCTCTGCGCAACGCAAAACAAAGACGGATCAATGACGTGCCCAGCTCACCATACATACATATAGGTAACATTTTATTTGGAATGTAAGAAATTTTGCTCGTCTACTCCAGACAATAATACAGAAGCCAATTGTACAACCCGTCATTCGCATTCCCACCATGTACGTTCACCACAGACAGACCTTTACGCTGCACGGATTGCTGGACAATCTATTATCTATACGTCATACGAAAATACCTAAAGTGACACAATTCAAAATCCAAACGTATGGCTCCAGTTGCCGCCGGCACGACTTCCGTCAATATTCCACTCGATCATTGTCTGTGTATTTACGTAACATACCTACGTGAATCGTAATTACGTCATAGACCGCGGTCGGTTGGTCGCGCTCAAAACGCGCTCGAGAACTTCTAGCGTCTGAATAGTACTGAGTAATGAATCGAAGGCTCGCCTTTTTCTCTACGGCCTACTGAGTCGAGTAACATTAGTCGAGAAGAAGCGGACAGCGAGCATCAATCAGCCCCCCTTCCTTGATTGATACACATGGGTGTATTAACATATGTAGGAGTCCCAATTCTAACGGCGTGGACATCCATACGAGTAACTCGTGCCTCGTAACAGTACAGCCTTGCCCATAGCGAGCGCATCAGCGTTCACAGTAAAAACGATGCTATAAATTCTCTGCTTATCGTTTCGCTGGCGATACTTCGTTTAGACCGGTAATCGTGCATGGCTCTGAAGTGTTACCATCGAAGTAGTCACTGAGGAATTCGTAAAAACTCTAGATAATTATGTTTTTGATTAGTAAAATGCTTACCTAACTTGTTTGGCAGTGGATTTAGCTGTATTTTGTCAAAAGGACCACAGCGGGCAGTTTTCCCTCGCTATAGGTCAGGTTCTATGGCTTTTGTACGGGGAGGATAAGTGTGGTATGTACTAAAGGCGCTACAGATAGTTCGTTGTTGCATTACGAAAGATGATGGCAGCAAAAATAATATGACTTAATAATTATTGTCAAACAGTTAATTAGACTGTATGAGCGACTAACTATACTATATCGAAAAAAAAAAAAAAAAAAAAAAAAAAACTACCTAGCTCGTAGCGAGGCCTATGAAGAAGAAGCGTCAACTTAGCAGAGGTGAGCCGCAAAACTTTAACTAACCGCTCATCAGCGCAACAAGATATAATAGCTTGATTTACTGGTAATAAATTAACAAGTTCTTTTCCCTTCTCTGGTCTCCTCCGTTGGACCCATCCTCGCCTCGACGTAATATCCAGCTGTTCGGCAATGGCAGTGCTTAGTAGCTGATTGAATCTCTCCAGCAGGTTTATCTTATTCGATATACATCATTAGAATTGAGTTTGGTTCGACGAACGTACACTAAGTTCTTAAGTAGACAACTTACTTACGCCAAGTCAGCTCAACGTTATTATGAAGCAATAGGAAAACAATGTAGGATCGATGGAGGCAGCTACACAATTAGAAATTTCGCCTTTAATGGGCTATTGGTATGTACCTTACGTAGCTTACACTCTGTGGTGAACAGATGCGAATAACAGGTTCTATTTGGCATAGTAAACGGAGATGATCGAAGACCTTGCCAATAAAGCGATACCGTGTTTGGGAGGATCGTATATTTTCAGGATCCAGCTTAATTGAAAATAAAAATCTATAGAATTCACTCACTGTCCCCGTATTTTTGCTGTTCGATCTCTTTGACAGTCTTCGCTAGCTCTAGTGACTGACGTGAACCCAAAAAAATAGGTACGCTTAACAAAACTGATTCATCGTTAGCACGGTGACACCTTAATTTGACTAGGTTGCACACACGGGGAATTGTTAGAGAAATAGTCTGTTATGAAAGCGGGAAGGACTGGCAGTACACGAGTGTTCGCCCCATAGTATTTGGTAAAATTTGGGCCTAAATCGGCCTAGCTAGGACCCCAAATGGCGCGGCATAAAATTGAACCTGTCACCCAATTTGACACAGGGAATATTTAAGCAAAAATAGAACACGCGGAGAACCGATTATTATTAGCATTGTTGTTATTTTTACTTTTTCCATTGCTTATTAGTATCTAGCACTGAGCGTTTTTCATCGTAGTTTTCCGTATTTTGCCTTTTCTGATGTGGGTAGAACTCCTTGAGAATTTTGGCTTTCGCTGTAGCATTTCATTTGATTCCTGAAATAAGGACTTTATTGAAAAGACGACATTGACAGCATGAGGCACGTACGACACCATTGTTGCAGAAAGACAGATATTGTAAACTTTGTACGCAAACAGCGCGCCTCCATTGCGCGCAACGGATAACGATAAGGGACAAGAAAACACCGCAAACAGATTAACACAAACTCTCAAGAGGGAAGATCTGTTTGTGCCTTGTCTTCATTGTAATCACATCACCATTATGATCATGATAGAGGAACATTGATGGAATATTAAGTTACTGTATCCGTATTGTGGTAACGGTGTAAATTTTATAATTGTTTTACAGGATGAGATGCTGTTTGCTCTAAATGTACACCACTTTATCTATAAATGTACTTTCTTCAATATCTATAGATACAAGTTCTTCTATTTCAGTGTCATGTAGAAATATTTTACACTATTCCCGCATACATTATATGTTATGATATTGTTTTTTGCCCTAATCCGTCAACGGTGCGTTTGCTTAAGCGTTACATAGGAATTATTCGTTTGTAGGATTTGTTATTATTACTGTTGTTGTTATTATTATTATTATCACTTTGTATCGCGAGATATTTTTGCGATGGAGAAAAATCAAAGTTAAACTTTTACATACGTTTATATCACGTCCATCGGAACGCTATCACAATCCCGTCTGCCGTCATCGTACACTTTAGCTGCAACTGTTGCTGCTGCTGCTGCTGCTGCTGCTGCTGCTGCTTTGTCGTCGTCGTCGTCGCCGTCGCCGTCGCCGTCGCCGCCGTCGTTGCCGCCTTAGCTTTCTTTTCTCAGTAGACATCCGTCTCTAATTTTCCTCCATAATATTATTATGCTTTCTACGAATAATACAATATACTTCACAGTGCTGCAGCTCATCCATTCACATCCAATTTTCATTTCGCTTCGAACGTTAAAAATTCAACTTTAAACCTTCAATCGCTTCCTTCGAATTGCTCTAGATTCGAGTACTATAATCGCAACAAATGAAGTAGCAATATTGCTTATTCTTGTTGCTACTGCTGTTTTCTTCGTCGTCGTCGTCGTCGTCGTTGTCGTCGTCGTCGTCGTCGTCGTCGTCGTCGTCGTGGCAGCAACGGTCGCCAAAATCGTCGTCTCTCTTGACGCGAGCATATTCAAAGCACATGGCGTGTTATTATCTATATCGTTATTTCTGCAGAACGTTTCCTCATGTGTAGATATTGTGTGTAATATATAATTGTATTATGTATCGGTATGTATGTATAGAAATATACACAAGCTTTGTACAGCGGAGCTCTACCACCGTGATATTATGCTGCCTGCCTGCCTGCCTGCCTGCCTGCTGCTGCTACTGGCCATAAGCATCGTCATAGTTATAGAAACAAAAAATAGCCAAAGCACAGATAACACAGACCAGTGACTCGTTGCTTCCAACATAAATACAATTGAAATGAAGATCCTCTTGATGCGTGATTCCATAAATCAATTCCTCCAAACCTTAAGACACCAAAATGTCACGTCACCCTGACGCTACGCTCTGCGTATCGTTTTGAGTAAAAAAAACCACGCTTGGACATTTTCACATCGTTAGATTACTAATAGCCAATATCGGTTATGTCCTTAACCGTTTGTGGTGGTAGGCAAGCGCTCAGCCGGAGGTCGCATCTCTTAATCAGGGTTTTTGACACGTTTAACAATGCTTCGTTCGTTCTGCTCACTTTTCTGCTTCATGAGAGTATAGCTGACGGAGGAGGATTGCGATGTCGGCCAATTAATTGCTGGGACTGCTAAGGCCGCAGTCTCTAATATTCCTTATCCATAAGCTTTGAGGCTCGTTTCGGTTTTCAGTCAGCAGACCAAGTTGGTCCTGCTGTTTCATCACCGCATACGTCATCAAAAAATAAACACCTTAAGTCATATTATGTATTTGTAGATGTGTATATATATATATATATTTTAGACTGTAACCGGGGAAATTTAGTGTCTTGTTTCTCTCTCACACATGAGCTCTGCGAGTGGGGTAGATGTCGGGGGGGGGGGGGACATATTGCAACGATCCAAAGCTCTCTCTCTCTCTCTCTCTCTCTCTCTCTCTCTCTCTCTCTCTCTCTCTCTCTCTCTCTCGCTCTCTCTCTCTCTCTCTCTCGCTCTCGCTCGCTCTCCTGCCTGCGCCGTCATCCATATTTTTTACATTGTTGCGCACTTGAGGCATTCCTATTACTAATGAGATGACCGCAGCTCTCTCGGGCATCCCATTGCAGTGGCTCTATACATTATGGTCTATGCAAATAATAACTGCGAAAGCTTAACCCATCTAACGAGCAGCGTTGTAGCGATGTTCAAGTACGTACGCTCTGCTTTACGTCACTCACACACGGACAGCCCCTTGTACTGGGATGATCTAAAACGCATATTGAAATTGGTGCTTGGCTTTTTCTGTAGTACTTACAATTTCGCCCATTGTCCGTCATTGCAACAGATCTTATATCATTTAATTGTCAATGTAATTTGGCAGGATAGCACTTAATTTGTAGCAGAATGGGCTGGTACAAGAGATACCTTGTTGAACTCGCTGGATAGATTCACTGGCTATCTTTATTATTATAAGATAATACCGATTTCGATTATCTCACTCGTTCGATCATTTAGAGTAAAGCACGTAAATCTGAATCGTCCATATGTTTTGTTCTGTATGTGTATATCGTCGTTCGAGAGGGGCAGGCAGCCTTCATCTAATGGCTAGTCATTGCCTTCCAAGTGTACACACAACAGTAATATATATATATATATATATATATATATATATATATATATATATATATATGACGAAAATAGACGTAGTAAAATAAACAGTAAATGATAAGCAATAATATTAGTAGATAAAAGTTTTTGTTTGCTCAAGCAGGCACCCAGATTTTTAGAGGTATCTACTCGTTGTCGGATTGTGCTCCTTTCAACCCAGTACAGATATCTAACGCTAAATTATCACTGACAATCTCTTTATCGTTTTCTCTCCTGGCTCAATGGTGATAATAATGACAATACACTAAACACCTTCTTACCGTTGAAGTAGATCATTTTTTACGATTTTTATCTATTTTTACATTTATCGTTATAACTTATAGTTGTAGCAGCGAGCGTAAGTTAACTTTATTCGTCGCTATATATATATATATATATATATATATATACGCGCTACGTCCACGTGCAGCCATTCATCGACTGTAGCTAAATGATGTCTTTGCTTTACAGTAATAATAACACCTTTACAAACAGACACACGAAAACCCTGCTATATTATACAATACACACGGCTATTACATGGGCGAAAAAAAATGTTTCGTTTTTACGTCAATCCACTCACTCATCGATCACTAGTGCTCTGCGCAACGCAAAACAAAGACGGATCAATGACGTGCCCAGCTCACCATACATACATATAGGTAACATTTTATTTGGAATGTAAGAAATTTTGCTCGTCTACTCCAGACAATAATACAGAAGCCAATTGTACAACCCGTCATTCGCATTCCCACCATGTACGTTCACCACAGACAGACCTTTACGCTGCACGGATTGCTGGACAATCTATTATCTATACGTCATACGAAAATACCTAAAGTGACACAATTCAAAATCCAAACGTATGGCTCCAGTTGCCGCCGGCACGACTTCCGTCAATATTCCACTCGATCATTGTCTGTGTATTTACGTAACATACCTACGTGAATCGTAATTACGTCATAGACCGCGGTCGGTTGGTCGCGCTCAAAACGCGCTCGAGAACTTCTAGCGTCTGAATAGTACTGAGTAATGAATCGAAGGCTCGCCTTTTTCTCTACGGCCTACTGAGTCGAGTAACATTAGTCGAGAAGAAGCGGACAGCGAGCATCAATCAGCCCCCCTTCCTTGATTGATACACATGGGTGTATTAACATATGTAGGAGTCCCAATTCTAACGGCGTGGACATCCATACGAGTAACTCGTGCCTCGTAACAGTACAGCCTTGCCCATAGCGAGCGCATCAGCGTTCACAGTAAAAACGATGCTATAAATTCTCTGCTTATCGTTTCGCTGGCGATACTTCGTTTAGACCGGTAATCGTGCATGGCTCTGAAGTGTTACCATCGAAGTAGTCACTGAGGAATTCGTAAAAACTCTAGATAATTATGTTTTTGATTAGTAAAATGCTTACCTAACTTGTTTGGCAGTGGATTTAGCTGTATTTTGTCAAAAGGACCACAGCGGGCAGTTTTCCCTCGCTATAGGTCAGGTTCTATGGCTTTTGTACGGGGAGGATAAGTGTGGTATGTACTAAAGGCGCTACAGATAGTTCGTTGTTGCATTACGAAAGATGATGGCAGCAAAAATAATATGACTTAATAATTATTGTCAAACAGTTAATTAGACTGTATGAGCGACTAACTATACTATATCGAAAAAAAAAAAAAAAAAAAAAAAAAAACTACCTAGCTCGTAGCGAGGCCTATGAAGAAGAAGCGTCAACTTAGCAGAGGTGAGCCGCAAAACTTTAACTAACCGCTCATCAGCGCAACAAGATATAATAGCTTGATTTACTGGTAATAAATTAACAAGTTCTTTTCCCTTCTCTGGTCTCCTCCGTTGGACCCATCCTCGCCTCGACGTAATATCCAGCTGTTCGGCAATGGCAGTGCTTAGTAGCTGATTGAATCTCTCCAGCAGGTTTATCTTATTCGATATACATCATTAGAATTGAGTTTGGTTCGACGAACGTACACTAAGTTCTTAAGTAGACAACTTACTTACGCCAAGTCAGCTCAACGTTATTATGAAGCAATAGGAAAACAATGTAGGATCGATGGAGGCAGCTACACAATTAGAAATTTCGCCTTTAATGGGCTATTGGTATGTACCTTACGTAGCTTACACTCTGTGGTGAACAGATGCGAATAACAGGTTCTATTTGGCATAGTAAACGGAGATGATCGAAGACCTTGCCAATAAAGCGATACCGTGTTTGGGAGGATCGTATATTTTCAGGATCCAGCTTAATTGAAAATAAAAATCTATAGAATTCACTCACTGTCCCCGTATTTTTGCTGTTCGATCTCTTTGACAGTCTTCGCTAGCTCTAGTGACTGACGTGAACCCAAAAAAATAGGTACGCTTAACAAAACTGATTCATCGTTAGCACGGTGACACCTTAATTTGACTAGGTTGCACACACGGGGAATTGTTAGAGAAATAGTCTGTTATGAAAGCGGGAAGGACTGGCAGTACACGAGTGTTCGCCCCATAGTATTTGGTAAAATTTGGGCCTAAATCGGCCTAGCTAGGACCCCAAATGGCGCGGCATAAAATTGAACCTGTCACCCAATTTGACACAGGGAATATTTAAGCAAAAATAGAACACGCGGAGAACCGATTATTATTAGCATTGTTGTTATTTTTACTTTTTCCATTGCTTATTAGTATCTAGCACTGAGCGTTTTTCATCGTAGTTTTCCGTATTTTGCCTTTTCTGATGTGGGTAGAACTCCTTGAGAATTTTGGCTTTCGCTGTAGCATTTCATTTGATTCCTGAAATAAGGACTTTATTGAAAAGACGACATTGACAGCATGAGGCACGTACGACACCATTGTTGCAGAAAGACAGATATTGTAAACTTTGTACGCAAACAGCGCGCCTCCATTGCGCGCAACGGATAACGATAAGGGACAAGAAAACACCGCAAACAGATTAACACAAACTCTCAAGAGGGAAGATCTGTTTGTGCCTTGTCTTCATTGTAATCACATCACCATTATGATCATGATAGAGGAACATTGATGGAATATTAAGTTACTGTATCCGTATTGTGGTAACGGTGTAAATTTTATAATTGTTTTACAGGATGAGATGCTGTTTGCTCTAAATGTACACCACTTTATCTATAAATGTACTTTCTTCAATATCTATAGATACAAGTTCTTCTATTTCAGTGTCATGTAGAAATATTTTACACTATTCCCGCATACATTATATGTTATGATATTGTTTTTTGCCCTAATCCGTCAACGGTGCGTTTGCTTAAGCGTTACATAGGAATTATTCGTTTGTAGGATTTGTTATTATTACTGTTGTTGTTATTATTATTATTATCACTTTGTATCGCGAGATATTTTTGCGATGGAGAAAAATCAAAGTTAAACTTTTACATACGTTTATATCACGTCCATCGGAACGCTATCACAATCCCGTCTGCCGTCATCGTACACTTTAGCTGCAACTGTTGCTGCTGCTGCTGCTGCTGCTGCTGCTGCTGCTTTGTCGTCGTCGTCGTCGCCGTCGCCGTCGCCGTCGCCGCCGTCGTTGCCGCCTTAGCTTTCTTTTCTCAGTAGACATCCGTCTCTAATTTTCCTCCATAATATTATTATGCTTTCTACGAATAATACAATATACTTCACAGTGCTGCAGCTCATCCATTCACATCCAATTTTCATTTCGCTTCGAACGTTAAAAATTCAACTTTAAACCTTCAATCGCTTCCTTCGAATTGCTCTAGATTCGAGTACTATAATCGCAACAAATGAAGTAGCAATATTGCTTATTCTTGTTGCTACTGCTGTTTTCTTCGTCGTCGTCGTCGTCGTCGTTGTCGTCGTCGTCGTCGTCGTCGTCGTCGTCGTCGTGGCAGCAACGGTCGCCAAAATCGTCGTCTCTCTTGACGCGAGCATATTCAAAGCACATGGCGTGTTATTATCTATATCGTTATTTCTGCAGAACGTTTCCTCATGTGTAGATATTGTGTGTAATATATAATTGTATTATGTATCGGTATGTATGTATAGAAATATACACAAGCTTTGTACAGCGGAGCTCTACCACCGTGATATTATGCTGCCTGCCTGCCTGCCTGCCTGCCTGCTGCTGCTACTGGCCATAAGCATCGTCATAGTTATAGAAACAAAAAATAGCCAAAGCACAGATAACACAGACCAGTGACTCGTTGCTTCCAACATAAATACAATTGAAATGAAGATCCTCTTGATGCGTGATTCCATAAATCAATTCCTCCAAACCTTAAGACACCAAAATGTCACGTCACCCTGACGCTACGCTCTGCGTATCGTTTTGAGTAAAAAAAACCACGCTTGGACATTTTCACATCGTTAGATTACTAATAGCCAATATCGGTTATGTCCTTAACCGTTTGTGGTGGTAGGCAAGCGCTCAGCCGGAGGTCGCATCTCTTAATCAGGGTTTTTGACACGTTTAACAATGCTTCGTTCGTTCTGCTCACTTTTCTGCTTCATGAGAGTATAGCTGACGGAGGAGGATTGCGATGTCGGCCAATTAATTGCTGGGACTGCTAAGGCCGCAGTCTCTAATATTCCTTATCCATAAGCTTTGAGGCTCGTTTCGGTTTTCAGTCAGCAGACCAAGTTGGTCCTGCTAGTCCTCCGAAAGGTGGTACGGAGTTGCTCTATCCCTGAGACATGCTCGCATCCAAATGAACTGTTTCTTCGGAAGAATACAAGTCTATAAAAATCCTAGCGTTGGACACCTGTTAACTCAGGAGATTCGACCACGGATGCGAGCGGCTCATTGTCACAACTGCCGTGTGCTACTGGGGTGCCAATGCTGCTAGGGCAGTTTGAGTGTAGCTTAGCGATGCACGCGCCCGAATTGAGCAGGAAGGGCACATAAAACATTTTGCTTTTCATCAGAAGTTCCGCAGCTCCCTCTACTAGCCGCGATAACCCTAATAGATAATCTAATCGGATAGGCTGTGAAGATTTTGTTGCAGCCAAGTGAGACCGGAGAGCACCCATATAGCGTTCTTTGATTGGCGTCAGTGCACTCTGCGACTCTTCTGCACAGGCGGAGGATGACGACGGGCGTAATACGTGCGTGACAATTATCCGATGAGTTCGATCAGTGGCAGCCGGAAGAGTATGGAAGACAAACAAGAAAGAAACGGTCACTAATGCTAAATACTCCTATATGCTGTTAAGTGGGGATATATTCAAGTCTGCAAGCTATCGTAAGACATAAAGCTGTCGAACGACATAACATAATAAGGATTTATGACGTATGAAACTGATGCATGAGAGGCTTATTAAATACGCTCAATGAAGATACGCGATTTATGGCGATACAGAGCAACTGGACAGACATTTTAATCGGAATTATTTGCCGGTGCGCGTGCGTGTGTGACGGTATGTGTTTGTATAAAGGAGAGATGTGTTGAAGTATGCAATAATCTACGTTATGTATAATAATATTAGAGCAGCTTACCGTGGCTTAGCATTGTGAGTACCTTAAGGCAAACGTATTCTTCCATTGTTACTTCACCGCGCCTCAGACAAAGTGCTAATCGGGTCAGCTTGTCGACTAGTTCACCTGCCTCCTGTTCCAATTGGTCCATTCCTGAAAGCAGACAGTTACCAAGGAAACGCTTGCGCTCATTTATTAGCTTATTACTGACTCTTTTAAAACGTATATATGTTACAAGTAATTAATATTCACACGTCGTGTCTACTTCATTGTTTCTCACGTATCGAGTATTTCGTTATCAACATACCGATGTGTCTACCCATGAGTGCCGTCAGACTGCCTTGAAGATCATGGAGGGCAGCGGAGACTTCGCGGTCTTCGGCGGACGGATCCGTCTGACTCTGAGGGCAACGGGCAGGCAAGTGGACCGATTGATATGCAGCCGTTGTTAAAACGAGTAACTGATGCCATTTATGCGTTAACAGCTGTAACAGAGAATAACAGAAAACACGTTTCGTGAGCTCTGAGTATCAATTTTCGTATTATGTAGTCGCCAACATTTACCGCCAGATCAACACGCAGAAAAACACCGTTTGGTAGATTGTCTTTCATGATTTCCAACAATTCATACGACCTAAACTCAGCCAACAGCCCCAAAGCACACTATTATTATAGAAAATAACAATTAAACCGCGTTCCGCTCTCCAGAGTTCTTTAGCCCCATTCGATTAAATTGACACACTACCCCCCCCCCCCCCCCCCATAAAACATCACTAACCCTATAACATGAAAGCTGCTGATATTAACCGTAGATCATCATCGAAAGTACGCTGTTAATCTTGATCAACGATCATTAATGGGGCTCTGAGGGTGATGGTAATAATTAAAGCTTCGGTTTTGGGCATCTGCACGAAGAATGATGATAAAGAACTCGTGAAGTAAGCGATACTGGGGGCTGTACCATTTTGCTAGCAACATTGGTCGTTGTTGTCCGATGCCGATTTGTACCGGCTGTATTTTCTGGCCTGCTCGTCGTTGACGGCCATCGACAACAACGTTTGCAGTAGATCGTTGCTGCTGTTGTTGCTGCTGGTGCCAGCGAACGCTACGCTGCCTTCGTCTGGCAACGGCAAAGCGTTCAGCAACAACAATGGAGCAGACCCACTATTAGCTAGCATCGTCGTCATCAACATGACGACGGCGGTAATGTTATCATCTAACTATCCATCGGCCGAATGGCGTTAGCACTATTAGCAGCGGCGTTGCTAGCGCTTGTTGTCAAGGCTGTGTTGGGTTATACTGTCAGCCTTGAGAGGGCATCGCCCTACTGTTTCTAGCGTCAGTTACTGGGTCACCAGTTTGTTACAGCCGCCGCTGCCCTCACAAACAGCAACGAGACAGGTCGTCAAGTAGCGATAAATCAGCTAGTCAGCGAGTAAACCAAATGACCCATCAATGATCGCGCCGCTATAGTAACTAAAGATTCTGCGAGGATGGACGCCAGCGTATACTTTAAGCCATCTATTATATCTTGGCAGGACTCTTGCTTATGTGCTAACTGACTGAGACGATAAATGGAGTAGCAGAAATCGAGGTCTTCGCCATAGACCAACAGGGCATGCACGCGGCGTGCAACGTTAAAACGCAATGCGTATGTACTACTATTATATCATGCCGAAGGCGGCATGACGATACGGCCCAATGAGTGAGGTGGCTACGAAACGGAATTTCGATATGTTTTACCTATTCAACTGTGTGCGAGCGTCGCAACGAGCAGGATCGTTCGGGAACTAATTAATCTAGGTTATGATTAAGGCAAACGCATTATACGAGACCTAAAGGCCCTTAGATACCGTCAACAAGTTGTAACACGTAACTTTTTATAGTAATTCATCAAGCACGCATGTCGTGATATAATCTATGAATCTAGAAACGATCAAATCAGTTAACGAAAAGAAACACGACCGATGCTTGGTAAGCATGAACTAGAAAGAAATAAGTTGTCGGCTTCTTTGGAAAGAGCAGCCCCATGTAATGATATTTTGCCGAATGCGTTCTACTACTAGGTTGGGCGGTCAGATACTCTAAAAAAAAGGTTTGATTAATATTTTTCTTTTGATTTAACTGTTCAGGCTGTAAGGCGTCCAGCTTGGCACTGAAATGAATAACTAAATGGCCGCCGCCAACCGTTGGGTCGCGGTTACGCACTACCATTTGTTTGTCGTCCGTTCAGGACGCCGGTGTTTTCTTGTGTGTTCACTCAACTCTAAAAAAAAAAAACAAACGATGTCTTTAGCTTATCTGTTTATACGCTCGAAGCTCTGCAACTAGTGTAACGTATGAAACTCTGTATGATCTTCAATGAGCGTTATTATAACTGTAAACTCAATGCAGGATGCTTATAACGTGCGAAGGGCACTACTATGGGCAAATGTCCGCCGCGGCAATTCGATAGCCGGCTCCCTTCTAAGCCCAAGTCAGTTTCTTGGGCGTTGCGCGCGAAGTTGCTAGGATGCTCAAAGACGATAGTATACTAGAGGTCTGGAAACCTTTTTCAGCCCAAATGTTGTTCTGAGCCATGTTATAATTTTAGTATGAATTTGAGTAAATGACGCCAAGTCGCCTGGCTTTACTGTAGCAAGCTGTCGACGTTTTCTTCTTAAATTCGTCTTTTCGAAATTTCCTACTTTTTATTTTTGTCGCGTCCCGTTACGCCTGGGTACATGTTCAACAACAGCTACATGTCCCCGCAGCCCAGTCAAGCCACTCTTGTCTTGAGGTGTGCCAGTTAACTTGCTAGGAAGTGTACCCAATATGAATAAAAAATATTCAATCGACTAGTCCCAATGGGTTATGTATTGCATTTGGCGTTATGAGCTACGGCGTCGTACGTAGATCGGCCTGCAGTGTTTTACTGACTGGATATGTTGCTGCCGATTCCCCATTCTTTAAACCATCATCAACGTCATTACTGCCATTAGCTCGTGGCTGAACTGTGGCTCTGGCTAGAAATCTGTTGCCACGAAGCTGCTGTCCCGGTTATTGCGTTGTCGGAGTATCCTGGCAACTGCCTGATCCAAGCAACGGCTCACACAGGAGCTGCAACGACCCTGACGCAGCTAGCGTCCCTGAAGGGTCGTTAGTCGATGACGAACTGCATCAGCCTTGTTGTCGTCGCTGATCCAGCCCTGACTGGCGTTATTGCTGCTTGATCTGACGACGAAGCTTAGATTTAAATGCTCAGATCTTTCGATCTGCCTCATTTCTGGCACAATAACTAAATAAAATTAAACAAGAGTGAATCTTGGCTCACTAATCGACGCTCATTACTATTAGTAGCACTATTTTGTGCTAGAATGCCGCATCGAAATGCTTCTTACAAGGCTTGGTGCCCTGAACTCGAACGCGCAGTTTTTTGTTTTCGAGCTATAAAACTAACTCGCGGGCACTGTGAATGTGTGAGATTTTCCTTTTTTTTTTTTCAAATATTATCATGTTGTATAATTACGAGGACTACAGTATGAGACCCTAAACCAAAGCTCTTGGATACTCCACAGCCGCCGCTTGTACGTCTCGATAAGTTTCAATAGATTTAGACATGTGCAGGGTATCACGAGACTCAAACCAGCCATCAGCATTCGAGCTACTAATTACGTGTAACACAGCTGGCAGTCGTCACATTAAAAACGGGCATTAGTCCTACCTATAATGAAACAAGGACCATCAAACATTCCCTTTGCATGTTGCTCGAGACAGCTGCAACGAAACTGTCACGCTGAGTGGGACTTCGAAGCCTTAGGCGTTACGATCCGACTTCAGCATGCGGTGATGATAAAAACGCCGAGTGGCAGAACCTACGTATGTAGCACACGACTCAAGCGCTGTTCATGAGCGCTCATATTCAGCCTAACTGTCATGGTTCTGCGACGTATTTTCTATACGTCTGTGCGTGCGTAGCTGTCCATCGGCCATCGACGTGCCTGTTGTCTAGTTGGCGCTTAGGGCGACAGCTGAAGTAGTATTTGTGCTATTGCCGCCGCTGTGTCGTTGTGAGTGGTCGGTTAACAGTTATTGCCCGCTACTTTTCTGCTGTTGCTGATGATGATCGTGCTAGTGCTGGTGATGGCTGGGCCGATGGCGGTGACCCTGACTCGGGACGACGGTCTTCGGTGTCCCTGAGGGGTCGTTGCTCGGCTAACCTTTACTTGATGGCAACAGCCGTACATTATCACTGGCAGCACCAGCGGCAGCAACTCCACGAGCGCCGGCGGTGGTCGCACCGACAAACCTGTTTTCCTTTCATTATACATGCGTTCCATGCACCTGCACACGCACGACAAACACAGCAGCAGCAGCAGCAGCGGCGGCGACAGCGTCGTCAACTGCCACTCCGGTATCACGGGCTTTCGCTATCCGCTTTCTGCCGCCGTCATAGTTGCTGAGCGGCTCGATGATCGTCGTTACCGATATCGCTGCTGCTGCTGCTGCTGCTGCTGCTGCTGCTGCTGCTGCTGCTGCCTCGACCGTTCGCAAAACTTTCGCGTCACGCTCACAATTCCGCAGGCTGGGGTTGCTGCCACGGCTGCCCTGGTGCTCTCACCAACTCCCCCGATAGTAATAGACGTAAGAAGGCGCTATACGAGAAAACTATGTATCGATACTGCAAGAAACAACGAGAAGATCTAACATAGACAATGTTAAGCTTATCGAACAAAACGTAATTTCTGATCTGTCGGTATTTCACGACGGCAAATTTTGAGAAACGACGACCTCAGAGGAGCATTTAGTAGGTGCTTTGTTTAGCGGACCCGCTAGCATAGGCAATCTGTGGGTAAGATAACCGAAACATGTGAGACGTATTTGCATTGCTACGATGCTGCGTCTCTCATGTTCTGCTCGAGCTTTAACCGTTGGGTTTATAAACACTTTTTTATTTAGTACTGTATAACCTTTCTCGTTAGCAGGCAGCTGTAGGGCATACACTATCTCACTGTTTTATTCAATACAAGATTAAATGATGTTAAATGTTTTTTCCTCGCTAGCATTAACGACTAACGCTCGATTTGGGGGTCCATATCCTTCCCGCGTCATTTGCGAAAATGCATTATTTAAATTCGTCAACAACTCGACGATATGTGCTCGTGCTCGAGCAAGTCACACAAAATCTAGCGGGCTTAAAGCATTAGCTGACAGCACGTCAAAAGTCCAAGGACCTAGCAAACGCAAAAAGGGCAAAAGGGCGCAAAAGGTTGAGAACAGGCTAAAGGTCTCAACCTACGTGAACGACACTGATAATCGGAAACATTTCTTTTGCGATCGATATTTTCAGTGCAATGGTGTTCCTCGTTGGCGCATGGAGGTCTCGTTCGAATTTATTTGGCACGATAGTCGGCAACGGTAAGATCCGTCTGATACGGACGCGTATTCTCAAAATCAAACCTCTTCCTTCGTCATAGTAGTTTGGTTTTAAGCAAAAATCGACCTT